CTTTGTAATAATTTATTATGCGATTTTATAATTTTTGTTTATTTGATAAGATTGAATAAACAATTTGGGCTATTTTAATAGTTTTACAACTTATGGAATTTTTATGTTTATGAGAAAATATACAACACAAAAATTCCATATCGCATGTCCAAACAAACCTTCAATTTCATCTCATGATTCCATATCATGATACCATATCATGATTCCATATCATGATACCATATCACATGGCCAAACGGGCCCTAAGAGAGATAGAAAAAAAAGAAGATAGGAAGAGAGGAGGATAGAATATATAAAAATAAAATTAAAAAAAGAATAAGGTAAAAAAAAAGAAAAGAGATAACTTGTACATTAAAAAAAAATACACAACTTTTTATTGAAAAGGTAAAAAGTAATTGTCATAACTATCACTTCATTAATGTCGTTTGCATTTATTGTCTTAGTTCTAATTTTTTTTTTAGTTTAATCCTACCTAATTAACTAAAAAATGGGGCCCCCTAAAATTGGGGGCCTAAGGCCAATGACTTTTTTTTAACCCTTATCAGCCACCCCTGGATTGGACCACCCTTCACCTAAGGTGGCTTCGCCTATGATTAAGGGTGATGACACGATTAGAAATTCTAACTAGTGAATCCAAAAAGTGCTATGCAAAATTTACCATTTAGAAGTCGTTTAGTAGTCGGAGAAGAAATAAATTATTCATGTATTAATTACATGAATAATTTTAGTATAACTTATAAAAACATTTGATAGGTTGATATAAATAAGTTATTCATGTGCATAAACTAATATGACGTTTGGTTGATAATTTAAAAGCCCTCATATAACTAATATATGCATTATCCGTTTGTTATATCTACAAAATTCCCTCTAAAACTCTGTTTTTCAATGAGTTACATCCCCTGTTTTTAGAGCTCAAAAGCATATCTCCCTGTTTCAAGATTTAGCCACCCATTTTTCTGTCTTCTTTAATTTTTCTCAAAAATGGCACAAGATTGGGGTGGTATTTTGAGAAGTGTTCAAGGATTCGCCGCTAAACAAATTTTGGCAGAAGAGAAAACTGATATTGGAGAAGATAATGAAGATTATGTCGAAAATATGTTTAGAACAGAAGAAACAATTGCAAATGCTGGGCTCACGAACCAACTTTCTTCAAGAACAACCCAACATCCATGGCTTCTTGAAGTTCGCCATACTGCAATTCACCACATTGTTCATGTAATTAATTGAAAATCGAAAACCCCATTTCGATATTATTTTTTGAAATTTTTTGAAATTTCTATATATGTGCAGACAGGAGGACCTTTTGGAGTCAAAAAAGTCACAGTTTATACAGCAGTGGTTTATGTTGATAGGTTTCTTTCATCAATGCCAATACAAGTAAGTAATACTCCGTCTGTTTCAATTTGTTCGTCTCATTTCACTTTTTTTTTAAAAAAAAATTATTCTTTGTATGTAGAATGAAAGATTCGATGTAGCAAAGTTACTGGGAGTCGCATGCTTATATTTGGCTGTTGAGCAATTGGAAGAAAATGAAGATCAGCCAGATTTATCAGATTATGAGAGTTGTACGAAATGTAGTGGAAGAATCATAACGAAGATGAGAAACTGTGTTGTTAAACAATTTAGAAGGATTGTCACTTTTGTTACTCCTATTCAGTTCATCAGATATTTCTTGTCAAGATTCTGCAGAGATCTTTCAAGAACAATGTACGCCAAATCCATAACTGTTGAAATCATCATGAGTACACTTGGAGGTACGTAATTTCATTCGAATCAATAAACGAGTCATAATTCAATCCGTCAAATGAATATGTATTGTTTAAATGGTGTTGAAAGAAATGAATATTAGACGTAACTATGAGTAACGCATTTAAATTTGAGCAAATTATATAACAAAGAATTTGTTTATTGAAGCAGATGTGAGGTTAATGAGTCTGAGAGCATTTGTAGTAGGAGCAGCAGCAACATTATTAGCATCAAATTCAAATATATTGACACATGAACTGATAAGGGATGAGATTAATGCATTGCCTCAAAATTGGCTTATTCCACTTGTAAGTATTATTATATCCTTTTCAATTATTCACTTTTTTTTTTTAATGTAAATGTCTTTCTGGATATTAATATGTGTTGGAAATTGATTGTGCAGGATGAGGTGTGTTCTTGCTATAATCGTTTGCTAGAGACCAACAGGCACAAACTTCAGATAAATTTGAACTGATTTTCACTACCAATTCTGGAAGCAAAGTAAAGGCATGAGGACCAAATTTATAGATATTTTTTCTCAAGAAATATTGTTAGTGTGAATGATATAAGACTGTAAGTAGATGATTTCTGTAATATTTTAGACACAAGCAGAAATATTGTTACTCATTCTTCCATAGGCACGTGGTCAGAATCTTAAACTGCTTTCTACTGCTTGAGAGCTTACACTTTCATGTTCTATTTCACTATTTTTACGATAAGATGTGTGACCAAGAATATATTTAGTTTTGCAAAGTGGTATTCGTCATAAAGTAATTAGTTTTAATAGCAAAAACTATTTAAATTTACCTTAAATAATATTGACACTAACTCTTAAATTTTGGCGTCTTGATGAACTGTTTGATCTTCAAGAAAAGACCTAACGTTTAGGGTGTGTGGGTATGAGAAAATATTTTTAGATTTTCATATTTGTTTGATCAAGATATTTAAAAAACATTTTCTATAGAAAATTAAGTTGTTTAAAATGAGAAAATGACTTTCCTAATAACGAAATCGGAAAAGGGTCAAAACTGCTCCTGAACTATGCGAAATAGACCACTTATACCCTCCATTACATTTTGGGATAAAAAATACCCCCGCAGTTATCCCAGGAGACCACAAATACCCTCAAGAGTTAACACCCCCAATTTATTAGTGATGTGGCAAGCCACATGGGACTAATCCCTCCACCTAAGCATTGCCAACTAAGATTCACTACAAAAGAACTTGACTTTTAGTGGCGACAAAGTCGCCACAAAATCCCAAAATATTGCCACTAAAGGTTATGAGTGATTTTTAGTGGCGACTAAGACTCCAATAACCATTCGCTAGTAAAACCTATTTTTTCAACAAAAAAATATGATAATTAATTTTCGATTGCGACCTAATTTTCTAAAATAAATAACTTGCAACATCCAATATTATTACGAAAAATAATCAAAATTACTTCTCGATTCAAATCTCCTACTATATATATATAATGCATCATTGTACATTTTATACATTTACATATGACATAAAAATAAAACATATAGTGTCTTCAACTCCTACTTAATCGATATCATATTTGGTTTTTTAAAAACAATGAAGAAAAAAACACAAAATTAGAATTTAATGTTAAAAACTTTTAGTGACGATTTTCTGGGCTTTTGTGGCGACTGTTGTTGCCGCTAAAGGTCTAGTTCTTTTGTAGTGAATCCTAGTTGATTCTTTTGTAGTGAATCCTAGTTGGCAACGCTTAGGTGGAAGGATTAGTCCCACGTGGCTTGCCACGTCAACAAAATTTTGGGGTGTTAACTCTTGAGGGTATTTGTGGCCTCTTAGGATAACAGTAGGGACATTTTTTATCCCAAAATGTAACGAAGGGTATAAATTGTCTATTTCATATAGTTCGGGAGCAATTTTGACCCTTTTCCGTAACGAAATTAAAAAAAAAGTTTCACTGACATTTCATATTGATTATAATATCCTCTTCATCTACCTTGTCAGCCTATCCTCACTACTAATGCTACTGCCTATTATAGTATTTATTTAAACTATCGATACTATTCAAATAATATTTTTTATTTACATGCCATTTTCTTAGAAAATATTTTTCCCACACACCATTAGAAATTAAAGCTTAAATGATGTAACAACTTTTTTGATGCATCACTTAATCATAAAAGTAAAAGTAATTGTATGTCACATCATATCTAATAATTCATCCTCATGTACTTCACTTTGACCATACTCCAAAAAGTAGACTATCCTTTCACACCCTATCTTTCTTACACAAAGTGACAAACCCCCTCCACCCTACGCCTCTCCAATCAGGGGACGGATGCAGATTGATGATATTGAATTCATCTGAATCTATTATTTTTAATTTTGATTGTTATGTAAATGTTATTATATTGTATTGTTTAAATTTATTTTTAGATAATGATAAAAAGATTCATTTTAGATAATGATTGATTTGATATGATTGTGTCGTTACCTTAATAAATTCTTTTCATTTTGTCTTTACTTATTTTATTTTGATTTCCCACCCGATGTTCGGTACCCGCATTGGAGTTCGACTAAATTCAAATTTGCATCGAAAAATCGCACATTGGGTGGTAAAGCGCTCATTGACCGTCTTTACTTATTATTTGATAATCTTATTTTATCATTCTCTATATTTTCATAGTAGCTCTACCCCGTATACTTATGGAGAAACGTAGACAGGGAAACAATATACTCCCTCTGTCCCAATTTATGTGGCAGTTTTTTGAATTTTGAGATTCAAACAAGTCTATTTTAACCGTAAATTTTTCATACATTTTTTAAATATTTTGAATTGTCAATTATTGTGACTTATAATAGTACTTTTTACATTGTTTATAAATATATAAATTTCATTTCAAAAAATTTAAAGATTCCATGTGTAATTGTCTGTCAAATTTAAACGGTTTGACTATCGAAAAATGAAAAATATCACATAAATTGAGACAGAGAATAATATTATACATTATGAAATAATATGTAAACGAGAATAAATCTTAGTTTGTCTCTCCCCAACTACCCCATACACACACACCCACCCAACAATTTTCTTTGTGTTCTCTTGTCAAAACTCAGTCATCAAGTTTGACTCAAAACCAACTCATCAATTTCACTCATGCCACCACCTTCCTGCATTTCCCAGTTTTTTCTGTTATTTTTCAGTTATTAGTATTATGTAAGGGAGAAGAATCAAAGAAAGAGAAACAAACAAAAAAGAAACTGAAAAGATGGAACAACCTCCGGTTTTCCGCATACTTCCAATTCGGGATGATGAAGATGATGAAGAAATGCTACAAGAAAATGGTGGCGATTATGATGGCGATGATGATAACGACGATGACCCTGATGGTAATGACGTGAATTACATACGGATATTAATTGGCCGAGAACTCGCCACCGATCGACTTAACGATCAACAAGTTGAAGGACTTGTCAATGACAATTGGAATCAACAAATTCGAACTCGTGCAATCCGTTACATTCGTAGAGTAAGTAATCAAGAACCCAATTTCTTCAATTTCGTAAATTTACAGAGCATGTCAAAAAAGACCAACTTTGATCATCCTCCCCGAACCCCACGTGTGGAATTACGCTGAATCTGTTGTTGTTGTGAAAAAAGAACTGATCTTTTTTTTTCAATTTCGATACGCAGAGTTAGTAATCAAGAACCCAATTTCTTCATTTTCATAAATTTACAGAGCATGTCAAAAAACATTAACTCTGATCATCCTCATTCCTCCCCGAACCCCACTTGTGTGATTACGATTACGCTGAATTTGTCGTTGTTGTTGTGAAAAAAAAAGACTGATTTTTTTTTTCAATTTTGATATACAGAGTTAGTAATCAAGAACCCAATTTCTTCATTTAATAAATTTACAGAGCATGTCAAAAAAGACCAACTCTGATCATCCTCCCCGAACCCCACTTGTGGAATTACACTGAATTTGTTGTTGTTGTGAAAAAATGACTGATCTTTCTTTCAATTTCGATACAGACAGGGCGAATTTTTCAATTTAGCAGACGAACACTTTACAGATCAGTGATATATCTGGACAGATTTCTTGCCTATCGAGTAATAGCTGTAAGAAAATATTTGATTCCTCTGAAAATGGTATAATATTTTCATTCGATTGTGTTATTTTCTGAATTTTTTTTGTTGAATTTGTAGAATGGGCAGCTCTGGGCAGTGAGGTTAATAGCAGTGGCTTGTTTATCATTGTCTGCAAAAATGAATGACAATATCGATGATGTGCCACCATTATCAGACTATCCAGTAGGAGCTTACAACATTAGTGTGAATGCCATACAGAGAATGGAGATTTTGGTTCTTGTTGATTTCAACTGGAATATGAATTGTGTGACTCCTTTTGATTTCAGAATTTTTTTCGTATCAAGATTCTGCAGAGATGCTACAAGATTAGACATAACTAGAATAACAACTGCTCGAATCATCATGAGTGCGTTAAGAGGTAATTAGTAAAGTACTAGTAATTAATTTCCCCTGTTTTCTGATCATTTGTTAATAAGGAGTAATTAATTGTTGTTAAATTTGTTTAAGCAGATTTGAGGTTAATGAATCATAGACCATCTGTAATAGCAGCAGCTGCAACATTAGTAGCAGTAAACAGAGATTTCACCATACAAGAATTGGTGATTGAGATAAATGCTTTGCCTATAAATGGATTTCTTCAAATTGTAAGTTTTTATATGATTGAGATTAAATGTTTTGCCTATTTCTATAGTCTAATGGAGCTTTTTGTGTTAATTCAGGCTGATGTGAGTTACTGCTACAATAGAATGCTAGAGCTGAACATTTGAGGATGATGACAAACAATCCCAGCTTTTGATGCCGCGCCCGTCTCGGATTCTTCAAATATACACTACTTTTAGCGAATTCGACACAAACCCGTTGACATTTTTGAAAAGTCCGAGCAACATTTCCCAGCGGAAGAAATATTAGTGAGATTGTAATTAGCTTCTTTTTGTTAGATAAACAAATAGGGGATTCATTGATTGTTGGTATATGTTGAACTGATACATTGTTAGTACTAGTAATATTTTAGTACATGTATTGTTCTTTCTCTATCTCTCTGTTCATAATACCTCAAGAGAACTTGAAGGTCGATTGGTAGCTGGTCAGTAGAAATACTATACGTGTATTATAAAATACATTGGTATGATGGTTATTATTAGTTGTATTGTATTGTTAGTTTAGACTTTAGATCAGGGGCGGCTCTTGCTTAATAAATTTAAGGCATATGCCTTATTGGGGCGTCAAATTTAATCAAGAAAAAATTATGTGTTAACTTTTTTAATAAAAAAATAATTATTTTTGGTTAAAAAGTATAATTTTAAGCAAATATAATATTTTATTATTTTTAACGCCATTCAAATAGAAAGAAATTAAGAAAACATTATTTTGTATGTTTACATTCTCTTCGCTAACACTCATATTATTTATCTTTTTAAAATTCTTTTGCACTTTCTTTTTTAAATTTTTTTATAAGCTAGAGTAATACACTGTCAAAATTATAAATTAATAGTCAAAAAATATTAAACAAAATGACTTACAATTTTTCTTTTGTTTGTTTCTTCTTAAATTTTCAAGTATTACATAAACATGTTAAAGTAGGGTTATACCAAGTTAGCAATTTCTTGTATCAGATTTTATGGTTCTAACTCTTATCTTTATGTAAAGTTTGTCAACTTATTGCTTATAGAATTATGTAAACAATTTATATAATGATTGCCTCAGTAAAAGAATGTTTTTCAATGTTGAATTGATAAAATATTACCTAAAATTAATAATTAAAAACGATATTCAAAAAAATCATTTTAAAAAAAGATATCAAGTAATAATTTGCACTTAAAAAGTTAAAAAAATAAACAACTATATTTGAAGTTTATAGATTTTAGGCCTCAATTAAAATTTCGCTTTAGGCCTCAAATTACGTTGAGCCTCCCCTGCTTTAGATACAATGCTTATTTTGATTGTTAATTAAGTTTAATTGTATCGTATCATTTAAATTTATTATTAGATAACGAAGAAAAGATCCATTTTAGGTAATGATCGATTTGGTGTGATCGTGTTGTTACCTTACTATTTTCTTCTCAATCTGTCTTCACTTATTATTTTTTTGGGTTTCCCACCCAGTGTCCAATACCCACATTTGAGCCCGACTAAATTCGGATTCACGTCGTAGAGTTCCACATTGGATGATAAAGTGCTCCCTAACCATCTTTACTTATTATTTGATAATTTTATTTTATAATTTACCCAACATTTTCATAATAGCTCTACCCCGTTATCTACTTATCTTGTACGTTTATCATTCAAATTATGTATATGTGACATTATGTAACGACGAGAATGATACAATCTATCCAAACATTGTAGTCATTAAAATAATAAAATACAATACAATACGATACAACACAATACAATACTACTCATGCCACCACCTTCCGGCACTTCCCAGTTTTTTCCTGTTATTTTTCAGTTATTAGTATTATATAAACGGTTATTCACACAAGTATATGACACAAATTAGTACAAAATTAAAAGGGATAGCAATCAAAGAAGAAAAAAAAGCTAAAAAGATGGAAAGTCCGGTTCTCTACTGTTCTGAACATCTGACTAAAGAAGATGATGAAGAAATGCAACAAGAAAATGGCGGCGATGGTGATGACGACGACCACAACAACAATGATGATGATGATACTGATGACGATGATGACGACGACGTTGATGACCCTGATGATAATGATGACCATAATGATAATGACATGAATTACATACGGATATTGATCAGCCGAGAAATCACCGACGTTCGACTTAATAATCAAGAAGTTGAAGTACTTGTCAATGACAATTGGAATCAAGAAATTCGAACTCATGCAATCCGTTACATTCGCAGAGTAAGTAATCAAGAACTCAATTCACTTCATTTTCATAAAATTAACAGAGCATGTAAAAAAACACCAACTCTGGTCATTCTCCCCGAACCCCACTTGTGTGATTACACTAAATTTGTTGTTGTTATGAAAAAAAGACTGATATTTTTTTCAATTTTGATACAGACAGCGCCACAATTTCGATTGAGAAGACGAACAATTTACAGAGCAGTGATGTATGTTGACAGATTTCTTTCCCATCGAATAATAGATGTAAGAAAAAATTCGATTATTATATTTTCATTTGATTCGGTTATTTTCTGATTATTATCTTTTTGTTGACTTTGCAGAATGGACAGTTCTGGGCAGTGAGGTTATTAGCAGTGACTTGTTTATCATTATCTGCAAAAATGAATGAAAACATAGATGATGTGCCACCATTATCAGACTATCCAGTAGGAGCTTACAACATTAATGTGAATGCCATAAGGAGAATGGAGATTTTGGTTCTTATTGAATTCAATTGGGATATGAATTGTGTTACTCCTTTTGATTTTAGAAATTTTTTCATATCAAGATTCTGCAGAGATGTTACAAGAATAGACATAACTAGAATGAATACTGTTGTAATCATCATGAGTGTTTTAAGAGGTAATTAGTACTACTAATTAATATACCCTGTTTTCTGATCATTTGTTAATAAGGAGTAATTAATTGTTGTTAAATTTGTTTAAGCAGATTTGAGGATAATGAATCATAGACCATCTGTAATAGCAGCTGCTGCAACATTATTAGCAGTACACGGAAATGTCACCATACAAGAATTGGTGATTGAGATAAATGCTTTGCCTATAAATGGATTTCTTCAAATTGTCAGTCTTTCATGATTTTTTTTTTTAAAAAAAAATTGTATTTTTAAATTCGTTTTTTTTTTAGAGTCTGATGGAATTTCTGTGTTAATTCAGGCTGGTGTGAGTTACTGCTACCATAGAATGCTGGAGCTGAACGTTTGAGGATGATGACAAACAACCCAAGCAAAAAGACATTAGTGTTGATGAATTTTTAGGAAAGAATTTTCTCAGTATTTCATGAGATTGTAATTAGCTTATTTTTGTTAGATAAGCAAATAGGTTGATTCATTGATTGTTGGTATATGTTGTAACTGATTCATTGTTAGTACTAGTGGACATTGTGTGCTTCTACTCTCTGTGTTCATAATACCTCAAGAGAACTTGAAGGTCGTTTGGTAGCTAGTTAGGAGAAATACTATACGTGTATTATAAAAGATATCTGAAAAATAAAACCCTATTTCTTTTGTTGTAGAAGCAGCATAAACAAAATCTACATTACAATTCATACAAAACTCATTTCAGAATCAAACAAGCTCTTACATAGTTGTCCATATGGTGCTTGCTAGTTGCTATAGTCACCATTCAGACGTCAGACGGAGATGTAGATAGGAGGAACCACTGCTAATTGAAATCGTTGCGATAATGACAGTAACTTGACTGAAAGATCTAGTAATGGCTGAAATGAGTTAATAGAGAGCAAACAAAAAGAGAAAATGGAATATGATTGTTCCCAAAATATTGATATGATGATGCAATGAAACAAAACCCAACCAGCATCATACCATATCAAGGTGTAATTACAACCACGGCATGTTCAGAAATACTTCACAAGTCATTGATCAAGAATTTCAGTTTCCCTCAAGGTGTACTTAAGGAGAACCAAGCAGTTCAGTATCTTCAGATCGGTCTTCCAAACGTTATAAGAAGCTGTTGGAAATTGATCAAATTGACCAACTCTTGCTGCGCATTTATGTCAAGATCTCCAACCTTCAAGACTGAGCTTTGACACTTACGATTGATCGCTGCAAACATTTGAGTCGATGCCCTTGAGTGAAGTTCAAGCCAGTTGTAACTTTTACTAGTTTCCTCCAAGTTGAGTTCAGCTTGATCCTACTGGGATCATCTTGATGGCAGCAGCAATCGGCATCCCCAGGAATCCGATTGCAACACTTGTAAACCACTGGTGGAATGTAAGGGGAGAAGTGCTTGCAAAGGTACCGAGGAATTCAACAATAATGATTTGGAAAAGAGCTGTAGAGCTGAGGACGGTAACAAAAACATAGTTGTCCAATATACCTTTGAAGACATTTATCTTTTCCATATCTCTAGAGCTAATCTCATTGAAAACCTGCAAGAGAACACAAAGATTACACTTAGGTATTACTAGTGGATTTGGTGAAGTCCTATAAATAGCAGAAGTTCGACCCGGCGTTTTCAACTTCCTCGGTTGATTTAAATGTGGCAGTGACATGATTTTTTTTTTCCATTGTGGAAACAAAATGACAATACTGAGAAAGCTTCATGTAAACTTGCAGTAATCTATCTGTGTTTTTAACTCATTTTACATATATCAAATAACAGCAACAAGATGTGAATCAACTAAAAAAATCATAAAATATGCTTTAATGCATTAGGAAGAGTGAAAGATTATATGTTGAAAAGGCAAACTGGTAAATTACCTGACAGAACACAAAAGAGTTGAAAATGACTGTGTTCAAAATCAAGTCAGCATCTGATCCATCAAGATGAAAGAGAGCTTTGCCAGTAGTTTGAAGATACCATATGACTACAAATTGGTAAAAAGATTGTCCCAAAATGTTCCTCCACATAACATTGCTAATGAAGTTCCCCTTCCTTCCTACAGGCGTTCGCTTCATCAAGTCATCATTAGGAGGTTCAGTAGCTAGTGCAAGAGCTCCCAGTGTGTCCATGATCATGTTGACCCATAGAAGCTGAACAGCAGTAAGTGGAGCACTCCCTGAAAATGTATAGAAGAACATCTCAAAATTACAACTTCTGGGGAAAATGTGTTCAAAGTAGTAAAAAGTAATTCTTAGGTCAAGATACGCTACCTGTCAAACAGGCTGAAGAAAAGTTGACAATCAAGGCAACCACATTTACGGTCAGCTGAAACTGAACAAACTTTTGAATATTCACATAAACTGAGCGTCCCCATTTGGCCACAGTCACAATTGTTGAGAAATTATCATCTAAAATTATAACGTCCGCACTCTCTTTAGCTACCTGGAACCAAAAACCAGACAACATGATGAATCCAGGAAAACAAATAAACATCAAGTAACCATATAAAATCTTTGTGTCCTACTACACAAAGCAAGGTGACAAAAAAATCACTTTCACTTCGAAGTCCAAGTTGTGAATGGAATATTAGGTATGGGCACTACTAATCTTAGAGAGGAAAACGGGAGATTCAAACAAGTTGATGAATGAAAATTCAGCTTCTCTAAGTGCTGATGGATAGCAGCTCTTTAGTTTTATTAAGCCAGAAATAGTAGAAGGAATCAGTAGGATCCTAAAACAACGAATTCATTGTTTAACAGTACAACTGCCAAATCAAATTACAAAATTTTCCTTACCAAAAAAATAATTTAGTTTAGAAGTTTATATAGTTAAAAAGAAGAAAAACTAATACACATCAGGAGAGTAGTCATTCAGGGAAGACCCACTAACAGCACTTGCGAGGTTATACATATTCATCATCAATAATTAACAAAATAATAATCATATCTGTACTCATTACCGTACTGTATAACTGAATCAATAGAGTATAATTTACAATCTTTCACCAGGAATGCAAAGATCAAATGAAATGCCTAAATAGAACAGAGAAAATCCTTAATAGGAGATTAAGTGCAAGTGAAGCTAAGTTGCTTATGGCATTACAGAAGGAAGATATAAAACGAGAGAAGTCATTAGCCCTTGGCAGAAAAAGAAAGTGGAGCCATGATGAAACTTCTTATTTTGTTGTAGAGTAAATTATTTGTGAAGGAACATAATGTTGTGGAAGAAAAAGGTCATGATCTCCATATAACTAAAGAGAGAGGAAATCCATAAGCATGCAGCAGAAAAAAAGAAAGTAGAGCCATGTCAAAACTTCTTAATTTTTGTAAAGTAAATTCTTTGTGAAGGAACAACAGGTGGTGAACAGAAAATGGTCACAATTGCTTCACTGTAGAAGAAAAAATTCAGGATCTTCCTAGGTCCAAAATACACACAACTAATCTCCTTAATAAAAGTGGGAGGCAAATCATATAAAGAAACTTCCTCCAAAAAATTTACAGTCCGTATTTGGGAGAACAGGCCAGGATTAGCAATGACAAACAATTTTTTTACTTTCCCAGTTTAATCATCTACTTTGACTAGCACACATGTTTAAGTGGAGTTATGTAGATGCAAGTCAATATTTTCTGTCAAACATTTTAATGTCACACTCGACATGGTTAACCAATTAGTCATTTTACAAGAAGTTTCTTCTAACGTGAAGATGCTACATCAATTTTTTGCACGGAAACAGCCGTAGTTTTAATGGGAAATACTTCACTTAAATTAATCAAGGGAAAGTGCAATTCTAAATGGAGTGGAATATAACAAATTACGCTAGCTCTTCGACAGAAAATCATACAGAACTCATCCTCTTTTATACACAATTATCCTTTCAAGGAAAAAAAATGGTTTAAGTATCTGCTATTTACTAGTTAGTAAGAAACATTGCTTTCACAGTCTTCCTTCTGATGTTTTATTCAATTAACATGCACTGGATACCAGTACTTTTCACATTGGATAATTTGCAGCTGAAATAGAGGGCGGTGCTCTCAAGGTTGCAATTGCTTGAAAAATCAACAAGTTCCCATTGTCAAACCACACTTGAGAAGATAATTTATACTACAACAGTAACTAAATATCACCTCAGTTCCAGCAATGCCCATAGCAAGACCTATATCTGCTTCATGAAGGGCAGGAGCATCATTAGTGCCGTCTCCAGTCACTGCAACAACTTCTTGAAAGGTCGTACGTAAATGTTTCACTAGCGTATGTTTATCCATTGGAGAAGAACGTGCCATCACCTAAGCAAATATATGAAGAAGATATTAATATCTCTCTGGTACCCAATCAGCACAGCAAACAAACAAATGAGATGAGATAATCCAGTAAGGAAAGTAGGACAATCCACACAAACGACCTCAGATTAAGATAATCAGCTCTCTGTTCATGAACAACGACAACAACAACTGAACCTTTGTCCCAAACAAGTTTGGGTTGACTATATGAATCCTCACAAGCCATGTTTCTCCATCTAACCTCATCTCAGGCCAACATTATATGAAATAATAATAGGGATAAAAATAAATATTAAAGTAAAAAGTACTAGAAGTTCATCACTTTTTGTGCGTGAACGTAAAACAAAATATCTTTATTTGACAGGTGAAGTGAAAATGCAATCCAAGATCAACAACTCAAAAATCCGGAAAGAACATATGCATACAACATATCGTCACCTTCTGTGCATGAACAAAAAAACAAAATATCTTTATTTGATAGGTGAAGTGAAAATACAATCCAAGTTCAACAACTTGAAAATGCAATCCCGGAAAGAACATATGCATATAGCAAAGTGAAATAATTATTTCTGAAGGCACCTGTAACTTTGGAATTATTTCTTGCAGCTCGGCCTCACTCTTCATCCTAAATACTGGACCTTCGATCGCAATACCATCATCAGTCAGAATTCCACATTCTCTAGCAATAGCCTTAGCAGTATTTATGTTGTCTCCAGTGACCATTCTCACAGTGATTCCAGCTGATCTACAAATTGCGACAGACTCCTTAACACCAGGACGAACGGGATCTTTAATGCCTACAATTCCTACGCAGGTATATCCCTCAAAGGGGATAGGAGTTTCAGCAGAGTACTCATCGCTGATGTCCTTGTAGACAAGGCACAAAGTTCGAAGAGCTTCATTAGCAAATAGGTCAATCGTATCATTCAGATGGTTAATTGAAGCTTCATCTAGGGGAACAACCTCACCGCTAGAGTTTAGGAAACTGTCACATGAAGCCAAAATTATTTCAGATGCTCCTTTACAGTGTGCACGGAGACCTTTTCCAGGAAGTTCTATAACTACACCCATTCTCTTCTTCGT